TTTTGACGTTGTTCTCTGGCTTTCTGTTGCTGGGACTGGGGGCGTCACACACACTGGGCTGCCCCGAGAGCTGTTTCCAACTTCAGCCTGAAGCCAAAAATTCCAGACTCTCACGAAGCAATCCGACGGCATGCTTGTGTTTCTCTCTCAATATTTTATGCTTTCTTGATCCATCCCTAATTTGGCTGTCTTGGCTCTGACTGACAGGCCTTTCTAGAGTCTTTGCAAAGCATTTAATTTCAGTTTTTGTAGAAATAGCAGCTCTCTCTTTTTGTTTATATATTTGCTTCATTGGACAATATTCTTTCCGTTTGCACTCCTCATTCACGAGTTTGTGGCTCAGTTAGCCCAAGTGCATCACAGTAATGAACACGTGTCATTGACAAGTTCCTAGCTTTATGCCAGTGCTATTTATGTTGGGTGTCTGCAGTTGCCTCCTCATGGGAGAATGCTTGGTCCAGGCCCGGTCCTTGCCTGTGCCCTGAGTGGGCTCCTGCCAGCCCAGTTCTCATGTGGACACTCCACACAGTGTCCCACCTCTGCTGACACTGTTGGCGAGCTAACGACGGTGTCACTTGTGGAAGCGCGGGGAGCCCATCCATGGGGTGAAGGACTCCGGCAACCTGGCAGACTTCTCCTCCCCAGAACAAGTCCCCTCCTCACAGTCCATGGTTCACTGTGACCCCAGGTCCACATGGACTGTCCTGAGCGCTTGTGTTCTGGCACCAAGAAAGGGACTGATTCATTTCATTAGTAGACGGTGCCTCGGAGGAGGAGCTCAGAGTTGGGGGAGGCAGAAGCTGTCCCTAGGGATCCCAAGTAAGGAAGGAAAGTTCTGGAAATATGCTATGAACGGAACAGAGCTGTCTGTTCCTGTCCGCATACCACAGATTCCAGAATAAAAAAATAATAAAAAATAAAAAACCCCAACCCTCACCCCCAAAAATGTCTCTCTCCCTTCTCTATATTTGGGGCCTTAAACTTTCTTATTCCAACCTGATCATCTTCAGCCTATTTATTTATTTATTTATTTGGAAGGCAGAATGAAAGAGAGAGGGAGAGAACCTTCCATCTGCTGGTTCACTCGCCAAATGGCTGCAAGAGCTGGGGCTAGCCAGAAGCTCCACTGAGGTCTCCCCTGAGATGCTGCTCTGCGGCAGCAACAACCCCTGGCCTCTGCCAGGCCTCGAAGTACCCTTCTGGGTTCCCACAGAGAGCCGCAAGCTCCGGTGGCGCACTCATTTCAAAACTTCATGGAACTCTTGCAAAAGCCAGCAAGCCTCAAAAGCAGAAGGACCAAGACCCAGTGACTTGGTGGGTTTGTTGGGAAACACCCCGCCATCTGGTAGGGGTGGGTGACAGTGGATCCAGGGCCCAGGCAGGGGAAGATGACCGGGGGAGATGGGAAGTGGAGATGGTAAGAACCATGGTGGTGGAGGTCAGGCTTTGCCTCCTTTCCTGGGCTTGGCATCCACAGCTGGGTTCAGAGAGAGGCCACCCCAAGAGGGGGGTGGAGAGCTGTCAGCACTTCCGTGTCTGAGGTTGGGAAGTGGGGGCTCGGTGCATGCAGGCCACTCCATAAGAGCAGCCCTTCTACCTGCTTTGTCTCCCCATCAAGGGCTCTGCTTCTGTGTTTGCCCTGCGTCAGGCTGAGGTTGCTTCGGCCAAATTCCTGGGAGGCCAATGACAAAAGGAACTGGGTTGAGGGGAGCTGTGTGCTTCCAGTTCTACCTTCCTTTTCCTTAAGGACCCTGAGGGTCTGGGAAAGGCCTTGCCAGAGTTGGGTCTGCACCAGCTCGGCCTTGGGGTCCTGCCTTCTGTGACCTGCTGAGTGGCCTTGGGCAACTCTAGGCTGCCTCCCTAGGCATGCCACTGCTCCTCTGCAAAACAGAGTTGAGAAGTAACTGCCCCGCCTTGTCTGAGGGGCACAAATTGCAAGAAGCCCAGCTAATGAAACTGTGCCCTGAGTACTGAACCCCACCTGTGAGCACACCCTGTTGTTTTTTTTTCCTAGACCTGATGACCCGTGACCAAGTTTCCTTTGCAAATGAGACCCAGTGAAAGACCAGCAACAGAAGCAAGAACAAAATAGAGCGAGAGAAATGCCACGATGTCACATGAGTCATGTGGATGTGGTCTCTCTCTTGCAGCCTCCTTACCCCTCATTGAACTTGGGGGAGAGGTTGGGACCGCAGAGCCCGAGACTAGAGATCAGAGGCAACCGCTGTGAAACTAGGTGCGGCAGACCCCACCCCCCGGGACTGCGATGTCAGTGTCAGGGTGCTCACTTCTGGCCCCCCACCCCCGCCCGCCCCGGAGTGGACCCGGCTGTTTTAGGGGCTCACGGACTCCTTCACACTGCCCCCACGGAGACTCCCTTAGTGTCTGGCGCACAGGGATGGTGGGTGCACGGTTGATTGTGGTTTTTCTGTTTTTCTATTCTCTGTATCTTTCTCTGTGGTTTTACCGTTTCAGAAGAAAGAACAGGTTTTCATGTGTCTCTGCACTGGAACGCTCCTCTGTCACTAGCAAGAATGAGGGTGAATGCATGCTTGGCAAAATAGATCTGTCACTTTATCTGCTGCTGATCATTTATCAGTAGATAAATAAGTCATTGTCACTCACTTATCTATCACCTCTCAATCATCTACTGTTAATAATCTGTATCACCTGTCTACCAATCATCAATCACTCATCTTCACATCATGCATTTATCTATATCATCCACTGATCACCTATCTGTATGGCACACATGTGTACACACACACCTGTCTGTATTTTAAGGTGTTATTTTAATCTTATTTGAAATATGTATTTTTTAAAAAAGATTTATTTATTTTACTGAAAAGGTAAATCAAATTTATACAGAGAAGGAGAGACAGAAAGATCCTCCATCTGCTGATTTACTCCCCAGATGGCCACAATGGTCGGAGCTGAGCCGACCCAAAGCCAGGAGCCAGGAGCTTGTTTTGGGTCTCCCACATGGATGCAGGGTTCCAAGACTTGAGCTCAGTCCTCGACTGTTTTCCTTCGGCACAAGCAGGGAGCTGGATGGGAAGTGGAGCAGCCATGGCATGAACTGTTGTCCATATGGGATCCCAACATTTGCAGAGTGAAGATGTAGCCACTGAGCCAGCGCACTGGGCCTGAGGTATGTATTTTTGAGGTGGTTACACACAGAGAGCTTTTCAATGTTTTTCATCTTCCAAATGATTCACTAGTAACCACCCGGCCCGTGCGTCCACGGTAGCCACAGGCCTTGCGTTCTTCTTCCCCACCCCTGGGCGATGGACACTCACTCCCCGGGGACCCACCAGGGCCAAGGCCCACCTGTCCACGTTCAGGTTTCCTGATCTGCCTTCCATGCTGTGCCTTTGCTGTCCTGGCTCCTGCTGATGCTGTCCTGTGGGCTTTGCAGCTGGCCTTGCTGGGACCATCACATTGACACTGTACTTACTGGGGAGGGGGCACTGTCCACCTGTTGTCTATTGGCCCAAAGCATAGCTTAGTCCTTCCAGCTATGTCTGACACCAGATGTGGTGTGAAGTCTAAAGGAGGGAGACAGTGCGGAACTGTCCCACAGAGCCAGGCTCTGGCCCAGAAAGCAGGAAGGGCTGCATCATTTGTGGGGCCAAGCGTGTGATAGAAGTCCAGGGTTCCTTGCATACACTTTGTAAAGATTCTTAGGAGCATGCCCACAGAGCATGAAACAAGCCAGAGGCCCCTGGAGCACAGGGCCATGTGTGTGATGGTACAGCTCACTAGCTGGGAGGCCGGCTGTGGGGCAGGTGCCCCCTTCCTCCTCTGCTTCCTGTAGCCCTGGACTGTGCCTGCTGTCACCCCCAAGCAGAATGCTCCAGGCGTCTTCATCCCAGCTGGCTTTGATCACCAAGAGGAGGAAGGGCATCCCTCAGTCTGTTGATTGTCCCCTAGAGGAAATGCTGCTCCCACCCATAGGAGCAATGTGCTTTCCAACCCCAGCGGTTAACAAGCCAAGACTAGCTATTCAGTCTTTAATGATGCCACTGGGGGACAGTGTGATTCACGGGAACACGCCAGAAGGCTACACAACAGGGTCCCTAATTGCTCCCATCACTCCCAGTTCAGCTGAGACAGTGACGAGATCGGTTCATTTCTGTTTTGGTCACTGCTCATTAAAGATGTAAAAAGATTGAGACCCAGCCTCACCCAGGGTCCTCATGGGGACAGATGCTGTTTTTGTGTGAGTAGTGGCTAGCTCACAATTTCCCTTGGACACTTTTCTCTTCCGTTCTTGACCCAGAGGGCTGGGATGGGTTGGACTCCACTTTCAAGAGTGGCCCTGTGAGTCAAGTGTAAGCCATTCAGCACATTGGTTCTGGAAGAGACATATGATCATCATAATCTCCACAGTGAGGAGTTCATGGGTGGCCATCCCAGGCCCCCATGAGCCTTCTGTCTAGGACTGCAGTTGAGGATAGGAGATGGGTGTGCTGAGGGACTCACAATGTTGATGTTGTCTTCCTATGTGATCAACATGTATGCCATGTTGTCTGGAGGAGACCAGGCTTTGGAGATGGAGGAGTGAGGTCCTACAGGGCATGACCCCCTGCCCTGGCTTCCCTGCCATCTTTCCCAAGTCTCTTTTCGTGGGCCAGGCCAGGCTGCTCTCCAGCGGCCAGGGATCTGGTGTATTTTGTGCGTCGTTGGATGTTTTTCAGCTGAGACGTTTGGATCTTGTGAATGGTGGTGGGGCAGATTGCTAACAGTTTTGCGTGTTTTTTCTTTTTAAGATTTATTTATTACTGGGAAATGAGATTTACACAGAGGAGAGACAGAAGGAAAGATCTTCCTTCTACTCGTTAATTCCCCAAGCAGCCACAATGGCCAGAGCTGAGCTGATCCAAAGCCAGAAGCTGCATCTGGGTCTCTCACTCGGGTACAGGGTCCCAAGGCTTTGGACCGTTCTCACTGCTTTCCCAGTCCATGAGCAGGGAGCTGGAAAGGAAGTGGGACACCTGGGATACGAATCCACATGGGATCCTGGTGCATACAAGGTGAGGACTTTAGCCACTAGACTACTGTGATGGGCCCTGTTTTTTAATATTTATTTTTATTGCAAAGACAGATTCATACAAAGAAGCAGAGACAGAGAGAAAGATCTTCCATCTACTGGCTCATTTCCCAAATTGCTGCAATGGCCAGAGATAAGCTAATATAAAGCCAGCAGCCAGGAGCCAGGAGCTTCTTCTGGGTGTCCGTGGGTGTGGGGGCCCAAGGCTTTGAGCAATTCTTAACTGCCAGCCCAGGACATACGGTAGGAGAGCTGGATGGGGAGTGGAGCAGCTAGGACATGAACTGGCATTCATGAGAGATCCCAGTGCTTGAAGATGTAGATGTAACCGCTGAGCTGATGCGCCGGGCCCAGCAGCTTTGTCTCTACGTCAAGCCTGCAGCCTGGATATCTCCTCTGGGCAATTCTCAACTGTGCACTGGGGAGACACCTTCTTTTTGATTGTGGGCTGCTAAGATTCTTGCTTGGGGACCTGAGACTGTTCTGACTTTACCATGGGTTTTACAGACCATCAGATCAGTCGGTCAAGATCCAGACTTGGTGGTCTCGAAGAGCTATAAGCTTTCGACCGTGTCCCAAAGGCTCTGGCTTCCTACCATATGAGACTAGAGGGCCATGACCTGGAAAGATCCTCCCGAGGCCCATGTGTCACTCACTTGGGCTGAGCCCCTTGTGGCTCGAGTCAACTCTTCTGGCTTCACTTGGCTGGCCAGATTGAGCTTCTTGGGGTGGTGGCGACAAGTTGGGAATGGGTCTTGTGCCAGCAAGGTTTGCTGAATTGATTCTTAGCCAGCAACATCAGCTTGCTGGAGGGAGCATGTGGATGTGGTGGTGGAATGCAAGGAGATGACCCCAGTCTTGTCTCTCACTCACAGTTCTCCACGCTGAAATCCAAGTCCCTAATGCCCTGACAGGCACCAAGTAAGACGGAGAAGACAGCTCTGGGAATGACACACAGACTTTACGGGACCGGAAGCATCACCTCCACTTCCTTCCTCTTGCCCCAGACTAGGTCAAGTCCAGGACGCTCTTAAGGTCAAAGGCAAGTGGTTCCTCAAGGATTGCAGGAAATGTAAATGTGGAGAGGACAGACTAATAGAATGCTTGACCCAAGTCGCAGTTAAACACAGCTGAGGGTGAAAGACAGAGGTCAGGGCGGGGAGATCCGGGGTTGGAAGGGGCCCAAGCAGCTGCCGACAGCGGACCCTGGTGTAGAATGGGCCGAGGGGGTTGGTCGCAGCTCACGGAGAAGGCACTGCCAAGCTTGTCATCTTGATTGCATTAAACAACGGTGTCCTCCAGCGCCTTCCTTTCCGGATTGCATGCTTGGCAGACAGTTTCCTGATTATAATGTGGCTTGGCATCTAGAGCAGTACGTGAGTTTTATGGGTTTGGTGTCACAAACTTGCCTGGAGAGGTGGAGTTCCTCTTGGATGAATGACCCAAAACTGAGCCTACAAAGCCAGGGGCTGCACACTGGACCGTGATCACAACTTGTGAACCCCTTGCCTTCGCCTGACTCCATCCCTCTGCATCTCCACCTGGTTTGGAGTTAACCAGAGGCAAGTTTCTTAACGTCTTTATGTCTCAGTTTACTCATCTGTAAATTGAGACTAAAGTTAATTCATTGTAGGAGTCAATGAATTAATAGGTTATCTACTGTCAATATTCAAATCTCCACAAGCCTGGCTTTGATCTTGAACAAGTAACTTTATTTTTGTTCTCTGATTTCCTTTTCTGTAATGTGGAGTTAATGACAACTGTTGTAAAAAAAGAAAGTGTGATACATGTAGGGTGTCAGAGTTGTTAAAATTTCTCTAAGTTGCAAAATTTTGCACAGTGTATTTTTATCATTTGTTGTAAACAGTTTTTGCTGTCACTGGGTCCATCGTGATCACAGTGCAGAGATTCTAATATCGCTCAGGTCATAACCTCACAAAACCAGAGGAGGAAGAAGGATGTGGGTACAGGCAAATACTTGGGACTAGTCTCCCCAACAAAAGCAAGGGGGTCCCAGGGGCTGCAGGGGAGCAGTGGAGCAGTGGATCTGGATTGAGTCTATACAAGTGGCTTTGCTGCCTTCCAGGGCTCACAGGGCTCCTCGGGGTGCAGGTGGAGAGGGGTTGGAAAAGCAGGTGTTGCCTGTTCCTGGCTGTCTCCTGGGGGAATTGTTCTCTGCTTTCCAGTACACAGATGCTGGGAGGCATGCGCATGCAAAACTAGCAGGGGACGGTGAAGACAAGGACAGGAAATGTCTGCCTTGCGTTTAAAAGGCTGTTATGGGAGAATCAAGATGGCAGAATAGGGCAAGATGGAAAAACAGATGGAAAAACATTAGCCAGTGTGCAGCAGAGAGGGCACATTCCAGAAATAGGAGAGGAAGAATGACAGTACAGGGACACCTGGAGACTGACAGACACAGAAAAGCTGAGGACACAATGGTGTGGTGTTGCAATGATCGATACCTTAGCAGCATTAAGTGAATGGCAAACTGAACTGTATCAGCAGCCAAAATTCCACCAGCTTCAAGGTGGGAAGGGACATTCATCAGGAGCCCACAAGGTAAACCCAAAGAACTGCCCATCCTGCGGGTTTGATTTGACCAGGGGTAGAGACAGAGTGACAGGTCCAAGATGGGGCAGTGTGGGAACAGGGTGGATCTCACAGCCCAGTCCACCCCTAGAGCCGAATCTGGCACCATTTTGTATAGGCAGGCAATGGTTATGGACCGTCCTACGCATGCACTGAGCTGGGAGAGAACTCACTTCTGGTTCAGTGAGGTGTAACAACACGGCATCCTACAGGTTCCACCCAAGAGAGGTCCGGGCAGCCCTCAGACCTGACGGCCAGCAGGTCAAGGACTCCATTGGCCCATCTGGTGCCATTTTGTACAGTGTAGCAAAGGTGTTAAGACTGCAGGGACAACAGTGAGCTGTGCATGTGCTGAGCTGGGAGCAAACCCACTGAGCCCAGTGCATTGCACTGGTCCCACAGGAAAAATAATACCGAGTTTGGCATCATACGGGTCGAAATAGGTCCATGTGGCCCTCAGAACTAATAGCCAACAGGTTCTGGTAAGATCAACACCACCAACAATCTAATCCTGGGAACTGCACTAACAGGAAGTGGGAGGAAGGTTGTACAGACAACAGTGCAGCCTCAGCTTGGTATCACAGGAGGTGGAGAGTGGTGAGCCAGGAGCTGGGGCTGTGGAGACCATGGTGGGAGTCTAACATAGGAAGCCAGGCCTGGAACTCACCGGAGGGAATGGCACAGTGACTGCAAACAAAGAGGTGTGTACCAACCACAATAAGTAAAATCGAATTGTGGACCTGTGGGTGACACAGCTTAGAAACCTGCCCCAGGGAGAATCTGATAACCAGAAGTACAAGGACCAAGAGTAAATCTGAGACAAAGGCACAGTGAATATTACTGAAGACTCCCTACAAAGGAGTAAGATCCTTTGTCAATCTCAGAGTTAACTGAGAATTACATCAAGAAAATGGGGATAAAGAACTTAAAAACACTTGGTATAAAGCTTCTTATCAACAATGAGAAGCCTACAATATAGGAGTTCAAGAAATTTAAGGAACATGTCACATAGGAAATGAATCAAATGAAAGCTGATATATCAGAAATCAAGAAAACAGTAAAACAACTTGAAAGTACAGTGGAGAGTCTCCAAAATAGAATGAAGGAGGCAGAAGAAAGAATCTTAGAATTGGAAGATATTTCCTATCACCGGGGGAAACAAACAAAAAGCTGGAAACAGAGCTGAGTCAAGCTAAAAATGTATTTAAGAACTGAAAGACACTAAGGCCAAATATAAGAATTATGGGAGTCCCAAAAGGTGCAGAAAGAGAAATTGGATTTTAAATGTATTTAATGAGGGCCTGGTGCAGTAGCCTAGTGGCTAAAGTCCTCATCTTGCATGCTCCAGGATCCCATATGGGCGCTGGTTCTAATCCCAGCAGCCCTGCTTCCCTGCTCCCTGCTGGCCTGGGAAAGCAGTTGAACACAGCCCAAAGCTTTGGGACCTGCACTCATGTGGGAGACCTGGAAGAGGCTCCTGGCTCCTAGCTTTGGATTGGCATGGCTCCGGCCATTGTGGCCACTTGGGGAGTGAATAATGGGACAGAAGATCTTCCCCTCTCCTCTTCCTGTCTGTATACCTGACTTTCCAATAAAAATAAATGAATCTTTAAAAATGTATTTAATGAAATAATAAGGGAAAATTGCCTTAATCTAGAGAAAGAATTGGGAAACAACATCCAGCAGGGGCACAGAACTCCCAACAGGGTTGACCAAAAGTGATCTTCACCACGACACATGATAATCATGCCCTCTTCAATCGAACATAAGAAATAGATCCTTCAATGTGCGTGTGAAAAAAATCAATTGACATTAAAGGAATGCCAATTAAATTCACAGGAAACCTCTCACAGGCCAGAAGAGAATAGAGCAACATATTCCAGACTCTAAAAGCAAAAAATTGTCGGCCTAGGATAATGTACCCATCAAAGTTCTCCTTTGTCTTTGAAAATGAAATAAAATTCTTTCATAGTAAAGAAAATTTGAAAGAATATGCCTCTTCCAAACCTGCCCTACAAAGGATACTTCAAGATGTTCTCTTGACAGAGAAGAGAAATAGCGCCCACCAAAACCAAAGGCAAATGGGAAGAACATCCCAGTAAAATAACAACAGCAGACTAAATCAATGAACAACCCATTCCTAAAATTACAGGACCAAGTTACCAACCATTAGTATTAACCTTGAATGTAAATGGCTTAAACTCATCAATCAAACGTCATAGATTAGTAGACTGGATTAAAAACAAAAAACAAGACCCATTTATTTGTTGCCTGCAGGAGACATATCTCACCAGCAAAGGTCAGCGGAAACTCTATCATAGATTTTTTTTTATTTTTTAGTTTCATCTCTTCAAAACACTTTCTTCTGATTAAATTATTCGCTGACTCACAGATCATACAGTAGCATTTTCTTCAAGAAGGCTCTTGATTTTCTTTTTCATTTCTTCTGCGACTCATTAGTCATTTGGTAGCATGTTGCTTAACTTCATGGCATTTTTTATTCCTTTTTTCTTCCTGTTATTGATTTTGTTTTGTGGGTTTTAATTTAAGGGGATGTACAGTAACTATGTAATGGAGACTATCATATTGAGAACCATGTTATTTAACTTCGTGGTGTTGTAAATTTCTATTTCTCTTCCTGTTGTTGGTTTTGTATTGTGGCTTTTCATTTAAGGGGATGTATAGTAATTATGTAATGGAGACTGTCATATCCATATGTAAGTATACAATGTAGTATGCATCTCTACTCCCAGATCAAAGATGGACTCCTAATGAAGCCATTTAACTATATCTTGACAACAGAATGCTGGACTCTGCCATCGTCCATGCCCACAATGATGGACATATGCCTGTTTATGAAGGACTATACTAAAGTAATATTACAGGGGAACTCAGCGGGTTGGGGGATGGAACTGTGGAGAAATCCCAGGACCTATATGGAACTGTATCATAAAATGATAATAATAAAAAAATTTTAAAAATTTAAAAACCTGTTACAAGAGATAAGGAGAGGCAAAGAACAAGAACATGTTATGTGTGCATGCATGTTCATGTGTGTGCATTTACCAGGGGCAGGAGACTAGAAAGCAACAGGAAACATGAGGTCAAACACAATTTTGGTTCAAGACACCTGAATGCCTGCCAGTGGTATCTGCGTACATTAGATGCCATCTTTCTGATGATGGACAAAAGCTTCTTGTTAATAAACAGAAGTGAAATTAAGAAGGAAGGGAGTGGGCTTTGGTATCGAGGTCTTCATTCAGTAATAACATGATTTCCACTGAATTGCTTAGGACCTTGCTGCTCTCAGGAGCATGGGAAGGTATGGGCAGGCTCTGTCTGCTGTGATTCACTGTGGGTTAAGGGATCCTTATCCCTTGCATGTTTCTCATTTGGTATCAGAGAACCTCTTGCACAGGTGGAATGGAGTTGGTCCACGGCTGCATTAAGCTGGGCACCTGCACCACTCACAGAGTCTGCCAGTTAGCAACAGAACTGTGAGCTCCATTTTCACTTGCAGTCTTCAGGGACCATTTATTTTTGTTGTCCAGGATGGAGAGGAAGGAAGCAAGAAGCATGTTGGGTAAATTTAGAGCCACGTCAACGCCCAGTACTACCTACAACTTGTGGGTCTGGTGCTCACCGCTGGCTGTTTATTTCTAGCAGAGTGGAGTTTCTTGTCCCAAGATGAAAGAAGTCAAAGGTTGTAAAAGGTGACATGTTCATGCAAAGGCCCCAGGGACCTCACATTTCAGGGAGAATGCTTTGGAAAGGACAGTTTGAAACAAGTGGAAAATGACTGAGTCATTCTCGTTTCCTGCTAAGGTTATCCAAGAAAGCCAGCCGGTGCCACTCCCAGGGCAGCTGCCTGCTCTGGCAAATGGCCAGAACTGGTCAGTTAGCCGGAGGAGCCCCAGACGGCCCCAGGCACCAGTGAAGTAATGCACGCTTCATCTATTTATCCATGAGCTTTCTGAGCAAATAAGAGAGGAAAACAAGCAAATGGACAAATGACTCAGGGAGAAGCTGGCTTTGCTAGATGCTCTGGCTTATTCCTGAGCTCAGTGTGGAAGCCTGGCAAGCAGTGGAGATGCTGCTCTAACCTAAACCGCAGAATCCTTCACATGCGGGCATGCTTCCTGTGGATATGGCTCCTTGGACACAGACTTGCATTCCACTGACCTTGGTTAATTAAAAACAAAGTCCCAGAAGGACCAAGAATATTGGAGGATAGAACAGAGAATGCTGCCTTTTGCTGGCTGGGTTGTCTTACCCTGGAAGCATTTATTTGAGCAGAGAGGGACCATGCTGCTGTGTACAGATGAGCAG